TGATAAATATTTAAAAATTAAACACAATATCCTATAGGCTATAACTACGAGTTGATGTACACTTTCAAGAAATATCTGTTATAACTTATAATATATATTAGGTATATTCGTTTTAATAATTCCAAACGAAATTGAATAAATCAAAAAAATCAAATCCTAGTGTAAATAATTATATGAGTATGTAAAGTAGGTACCCTGTAAGGCTATAACTATACGGGTGCGGTGCATGTATAGTATAGTCAGTAGATCGGATAAGACACAAGTCTTCTGATTTATATACCTCGTACTGGACACGTTATCTCGTGTGGATATTTTCTAGAGAAACAGACGATTGTGACAACAGACTCGAGAACTTGTCCACGTGAGCTGATCTTTTCAAAGTGAAGCCGATTATCGCAAATCACTTTGTTGATTGTTGTGACCGCGATCAGAGTTGGTTTTCTATGCTTTCGATATCGATGTATTGCACATCATCTAATAATACCTACCTGTTTACTGTGGTGGGTCACAAAGTGGTGAGATAATTTTCGTGTACTTATTATAGCTTATTTGCGCCCAAGTTCATATGGTGTTCCCAGTTTTGATGATAAAAACTAATTCGTTTTTAACAATTTCCGACAATACGATTAAAATATATTTCTGTTATAACTTTTAATCAATACTATTAAAGTATTAACACATTGATTACTTACATACCTAATAATATAATGAAATTATTGAATCGTTATAACAATGGTGGATAAGTACCTATAGCTAATTTTTGAATGTTTACAACACATATGCACATAACATACATGTTAATTGTTATACAAATTGTATTTACATGGCATTTGATAGCATTTATACTAATTGAGAGTTAAATACTTAAATTCGATACTTAATCGGGTTATAATATTTGTGGTTAAGGCGAATGATCTGACATCTTCAATAGTTATTATTATTAAATATTTTAATTTTGAATATTATAGGTATAATTCAGACGATTAATATTTTGATAAATAATAAATTGATTTAAAACTACTTTGTAGGATAGGTATACCTACCTAAATTTGATAAATGTTTGTTATAACTTATAATTATTGTCAAGACGTCAAGTCTACACCGATTACCAAAAAGTATGATCACCTATAATGTGTAAAGTTCATATTATCAGTATAATTTATAAGAAGATTAGATAATTATTAATTAAGCCAAAATGTACGATATTTAACTCTTTATATTGTAAATTTTGGATTAATTTTAATTTTAATTCTTGGCGTCATACTGAAGGTCTTCTCGTGAGTATAAATTAACTTTAATATTAATACATATTATCATAAAATGTTTTTAAAAATAAATTATATCCTTATAGTAACTGGTTAACATCAATCGTAGTTGACTTAATCACTTTAGAACATAACAATAAATTGTCCATCAAAAATATTTTTGAGTAACAAATTGTACACAATTATTGTCTAAATAGGGATGATATAATATGTCATGCTTTATATGTTTGAGTAACTTTGGATAGTATATGTATAATGTATATGTATATAATATATATTTCACTTAAACAAACTAATATGTAAATTGTTTTAAATTTATAATTTACATTTATAAATTATATGAGGTTTATACTTCGATGTCAAGTTTTATTTCAAATAATTTTTAATATACTTATACCAACTTGATGTCATGTTAACTTTTATGTTAATCGTATTTATGTTAATTAAGTGATTACACACAAAGTTTAAAACGTCAACACATATACATACAATAGAATCTTCGTTCTCAGAATTAAAATTTTTTTTTTAGTAAAAACTTAACATATCTTTATTATGTACAATATATTATGTACTCAACTATAGTTAGGTACTAAAACGTATTGCTGTCTTTGTTTTAATTATGCGGGACATTTTGTTGATGTAAAAATTTGAATTTAACATTTTATTATCTTTGATTACAAATCTATGTTTATTCAGAAATAGCTATCCAGTGTATTATTGTGACGTGAGATATTATATTCCATTTGCATAACACTTGAACCCATCAATAAAAAGAACTGAAGGAGTTGGAATGTAAAAATGGCAATTGTATGAACTCGTAAAATAATTCATTACCATTATTTGCATGTTGCTGATAAACAGTGGGTGTCTCAAGTCCCGAGGCATAACACATATTATGGCAAACATTCATCTATATACGTATAGACGTATACATATAGAATACATTTATTTTAATTCAAATATTCAATCTATATCATCGGTATTATAATATTATATATCGATATACTCTAGTATACTATGAGGTATTCGTATTTTATTAAATTTATTTCAAATAATGATCGTTTAAGAAATATGAAATAGGCAATATCTAATAGGTATTGAGATATTTCATATAACCTAACAATATAACTGTCTGACATGTAGGTATTAAAACACCTAATTTAAAAACGTTTAAACTTAACGAAGCTTAAAATTGCGGTGCCGACGACAATGTTTTATTTAACGAATGGCAGCGGATTCTTTAAGGTACTTACAAATCCTATCAAACAAATATTAATTAGATTTCACAGTAAATGTAAATATGTTGAGCTAAGCGATTCTCACAATATAAGATTATTTTCTTGTTTAAATGTAAAGGATTAAAAATAAATTGATATTTGATAGGCCTGATCTAAAAATATATGTTATAGGTACTATATAATATAATACAATGCATTATATAGATTTAGACACTTTTAAAATAATTGTACAATAATTAATTTTATATCGTATTCAAATTAAAGTTTGTACATATATAGCAGTCCGATTTATTTCTTAATCGTTTTGTTGCTCAAGTGGTATAGGTACTCCTCTTATATATTACAAGTTCTCGTTGCAGTGAAGAGGCGGACATCACATTTATGATAAAGATAACTATTCTAAATTAAAATTAATATAAATATATAAAAAATATTTTTCTCGTGTTTATTTATCCTTTTAAAATATATTTTTGGTTCTATGACAGTTTTGAATTGTTTTGGTTTATATTTTATGTTTCAGTTAGGAAGCTTAGAAGTTTCTGGTTAGTTTATTATAAGCATATATTGGCTAATATGATAATATGATTAATGATGGAAATCAACACAATAAAGTACCAAAAACGTAGGTGTAATATTAATGCTATTAATTTTGTCAGGATTTCAGAAGCATGTACATATTGTTATGATAGCAATTATGTAACGAATGATTAAAAGTAATTATATTAATTTCTTCTTACATTTGTGTAGGTGAAATTTCAATTGATAAATTAATTAATTTGAGGTACCTACCTAATAACTATGCATTAAAAAGTAAATGTGAAACATTATAAAATATCTTATGTCAAACTGTCAAAAATATTGTGTTTCATGATATTCTGTTATATTCAGTCCAGTAAAAAACAACTAAAACATTTGGGTAATTATTGGGCAATATTTTTTTTAATACTTTTATTATGTTTTCAGATTTTCAGAAGTGCATAAGCATTTATTTATTTTTAATTAAGCCAGCTATAGTTCTGAAGTACATAATAATAATGTATATAATTCACAATTATTACCAGTGGCATAACATCAAAATTTGTACACAGTAGCAATTATCCAACGTTCCCGAGAGATCTAATTTCTTTTGAAATTACATTTTATGTCTAAAGTTTATAAATACATCGTCTCGTGAATAAGATCAACCTCTGATGGAATAACTAACAACTAACTAATATACATAGTATCATGAGGAAATCGTCACAAAACTCACGAGTTTTAAGAATGAACCTTATATTTAATGCTTTTAGCAAAATGCTTGCAAGATTTGGTAAAAAACTTTGAATTTTCAGAACCCATAAAAGTCACCATATTTACAAATAAATCTCATGAAATTGCGTCATCGAACTGATAACATATAATATTACAAAATTACAATTTCTAGGTTACAAGTTACAAACACAATAAACACGGTGACTGTAACTGTAGGATAACAGGTTCATAAGTCATAACATCAAAATAAATTCAAGTATGTTTGAATATTAAAAAAAATTTAAAAACGTTGTTGTTGTATATATCACCTAGGTATTCAAAGAAAACATGCTGTATTTCAGGCTTACCCAAGTAATCGGTTCTGACTCCTGGGTGCAATCGTACACTCAGATCCCTCTTATTTGCTCGTCACCGACAATATTATTCATAGAGGTTCTAGAGTTAGTTGCAAGTAAAAAAATATTTTTACCATCGTCAAAGAATAATTTATCCCCTATATTTTTGTTTAATATTCCCCGTTTATTTCAAAATTATGACTAGGTATTATAATATTCACCATAGCCTTAAACTAAAACAGTATTATTATAAATTACTCGCTTAAATAAAAAATGGCTCATGAGTCATGGATAACTCCACTCATAATATTATAATACTACTACTACCTACTACTACTCGTAAGCATTTTATTAGTATTCTAAGTTGTATCATTGTATGTATAAAAATTAAGATCATTATGGTTATAGAATAACATTATGATACATAATATACTTTATGCATATAAGGTATAGCTCATTATAAATTATATATTATTATATACGGTTAATCCCGTTTAATGATACATTTTGTTAAATAATGAATTCATATTTTAGTTTTGGTTTTTCAATTTTTCATTTATTCATGTGACTATATGTATATTGGTATATTATAATTTTTCGAAAAGTTTAACGTTAATCGGTAATCAGGAAGACAGTACTATACAGTGGTAAAAAAAATTATTTTCAAAATGTTTGTAAAGCATGGAAAAATTAACCAGCTTATGAGACAAAATAATGTATTAACTTTTAGATAGAAAATAAAAAAAACAAATTTTATTGATAAAAATCCCCACGCGATATTTTCGTTAGCAACGCGTTTTGTTCTTTATACTTTTCGATAAAATACCATAAAACTTATCAATATTTAATACAATTTGTATACAAACTCACGCTCAACAAATAAAGGGCTAATCCTATACCTATACACATAAATGATAAACAAAGTAAACATCTCTCAATCAAGCATCGATTAGTAAGAAAATGTTATTTTAAATATGTATTGTTTGGATGGAACAACGTTTTTATTTTTAAGCGTACAGAGCGAGTTGGAGATATCCTGTGTAGAAATCAACGATGGACATGTTTGGAAAGATTTAAATATACCGTCTAGGATCCTTAAGACGTGTTCGATTTGTGGAGTACGAAACGTATGGCCATGGATCACCACAATTAAGTGCAAGGGTTAGTCCATAGTGCATAAGTACCATAGGTACTCTATACCAGTGCTTCTCAACCTTATTACTGTGGCGACCCCCCTTTTTAAATTTCAATTTTTTAGCGACCACTACATATATATTTTGTACATACTTGTACCTATGATTTAAATAATTCGATTCCGACCCTAAATAATAAGTTGGCGACCTCCAGGTTGAGAAACACTGCTCTATACTATAGAGTATTAGAGTCTATAGTCTATATCAGAGGTTCTAACCTGTGGTCTAAGCCCCATGGGGGTCTACGATACTCATGTCGGGGGTCCTCGACAGCCTTAACACATAACATACGTCAATAAGTGACATGAGTGCATTATTACAATATTGTTAGATTATTATTTTTTTCTTTATATATAATAATATGTAGATTCAACACCAAATAATTGTATTATTAATATTTATTAAGTAATCACCAATCAGTTTTTCTTGTTCATACGAAATGTACATGCACTGTAGTATCGGCAGTCTTATATTACTCAATTAGTACTCAATTCTACTTTTTATTACATTTTATAAAAAATTAATTGTAATACAAATAATTATAAATGTGTATGTTTTGTTATATCTATTTATGTAATTTGTAATATAAAATAATTATTATAGTTTTGGTTATGATAACATGAGATGTTTTGTAAAAAAAAAAGTAATCGAAAAAAATTTGGTAAGGGGTCTAAAAATCTTTCATCAGGGGTCCGTGATCTACAAAAGTTTAAGAACCACCGGTCTATATTATAAACGTTTACGCTGTAATTCGTTATTGTTTGTTTATAGAATGTAAAATGGTTTGTCATCGGCAATGTTTGGCTGAGTTCGACGAGAAAATATGTCCTTTGTTCTTTAACCCTCAGTGCGAGGATTTATCGACGATCTCAAATTCGAATGTCTGTTGAGTTTAGAAAACACTAAGTATAGTTATATAGTTGCATAGAATACAAATGCATGTCCATGAAGTTATAACCAGCCAAAACAAGATTTGGCCCGGTTTCATAGACATATATTCTATATTTCTATTACCTATAGATTATTGTATAATTATATATACTTAATATATTATTTATAACACACTCTGTATGTTCATGTAATATCAGAAAAAACCTTCATCCGTTGTCCTGATCACGGGAGGACTCGCCGACGACGTGCACGACTGCGACAACGGTGGCTGTCATGCCGAGATATTGGCGTCGGTTTCAAACGCAGCGCTCTGCCCGCTCACCGACCGCCCGCGAAGCAGGAACTCGTCTCCCGGCCCCAAACACGAATCGTCATTTCTTTTAGAAGTATAAGTCTCTGCATAACATTTCATAACAGGCGATTGTTTTACCTACATTATCAGTGAACATTCATCATTTCGAAAAGTATTGTTATTGTTTGACATTTTCATTTTGGAAAATTTAAAATACCTACGTGCAATCCGTTTTAAACTGTCTTTATTTTTCTCACACTTGCAATGTCATTTGGAGAAAATGTATTGTTGAATTTTTTGATTTTTTAATGGTAACAAACACAAGGGTGATAAAAAAGTGTATACCTTATAAAATGTTCTATAATGACTTTAGGATTCCATGCAACTATGCAAGTAAGTAACCTACTTTAAATCTTACAAAAAAAATTCGAAAAAATAACACTTTTGAAATAATGACTGTTCAGTGTTAACTTTAAATATAGGTGTAAGTTATTAATTATTTTTAATAACTATAGGGTTTAAAGTTTATAGTCTGTGTAATTATAATGATATTCGTGTTTCCAGTTTATTTAAAATAAAAGTTTGATATAACTATATAAGCTGTAGTATAATATAAATACACAATTAATATACTGCAGGAAATGATGATCATCATATTTAACTAAACACAATTTATCGCTTTATCACTTGTTACACTTTTTGACTTTTACTAACATTCGAATGTTCTGATACTTTCTTGACGGAAAATTAATTAATTTTTCTTTATTTAAAAATTGTTTTAATAGTTAGATTATATTAGTAAAGGTATTACATTTAGGTACAGTGGAACATGTGTTTTCTTATACCAACAGTGTTATTATTTTTTTTTTAATCATTTTTCATACATGAGATTACACGTTAATTCCCTAATATTTAAAACGTATACACATGCTACAATATATGTAGCCATGTAGGTAGTAGGTACATAATGCATAATACAAACATGTAATCATAATCCAACTAATTAACATATCTATTTTATCTAACAGCCTCAAAAAAAAATTAATTAATCAAACTTCAAAATGAGTTACTAAGAAAAAATATAAGTATAACTATTTATGTACACCTATACCTATATTTTCCACGTGTTATATATAATTGGCAACTACATATAGATGATTATGAAAATAAATTAAATATATTAGACTAATCACTCATATAAATTAAAACAACTAATAATAAACTGATATATAATAATAAATTAGGCTTTTTTATATATAATGAATTGTACACGAGTGGTGCAGTTAATTATTCATACCTATAACTGTTAAATATATTTATTAATTTATTGATTATATACAATAATATCTGGCGACAGACACAATATAATACTCTATATTATTTAAATATTAGATAATGTACCTACCTAAGATTTGTTTACATATGATATCGTTGAATTAGCAAGTACTACATAATGTGTCTTTTGCAGGATTGAAGGTTAATAAAACATGCACATTATTGCTTTTGAATAATTCACATCATGTACCTATGTGCCTAAAGAAATATGACAGTTATTTGCAATTATTGAGTATATTTAAAATCAAAAAAGCAAGATAAACTGGTTGGCAGTATAGATAAAAAAAAAAATTATGTCAAGTTCAGTTATTACATGAATAAAATATGCCCCGTAATAATATACCTTCTCCTTCGAACTAATTATTTAAATTCACAATCAAATGTATAACGTTTACATATTATGATGTGTCTTAAGAGGCTAATTATCATGTATTGTACGGTATAACAATTTTTCATAGTTTGTAGCTAAATTTATTATAAGATTGTTATACATCACAATAGAAAACTCACTCTGTGAACAATATTGTGTATAGAACCTAAACATTAATTTTAAATATTATTAATGATATTATATAGCTAATTTTTCATATAGTAAATGCCTAGAATATAAGATACGTACTATAGTGAGAAAATATTATTCGACATAGGCACATAGCATATTATAAACGAGTATTTTCGGTTCCCTTCAATTTGTATGTACATTTATGATTTATTTATAGTCAATTAATATGACTCAGTGACAACTATGTCCTAGTGGGAATATAGTTTATGGCATAATATAGGTAAATTAAATATATTATAGACATTTTAATTTTGGTCTGTACTCTGTATATAACATAGTAATAATATATTATGGTGTTTTTAGTAATGCTGAGAACTATAATTTTATATAAATTCATAAGGAAAATGATAAACAATATTTGTTTGTTCGGGTTAAAAATACGATAAGTTCCTACTATGAGAAAATATTTTCCAGAATATTGTTTTTTTTTGCTTTTGATTTGTGTCGAGGTTACATCAAATAAACTGTAAATATCTATCAATTACAGCCCACTTGAATATATATTAACTTACATTTGGTATTTTATAATATTATGCATTAATCGTTTACTTAACGATAAAATATTTCTGCATGTGAAAAAAACAGGTTTTCTAGGTCACGTTCAAGGTTCAATTGAAAATAGAAAGTTTGCAACCTGCAGGTTCGTCTTATTATGATTGAAAATCTAATAAAATCCCTATTTGTTATATATATTTTTCTAAATAACAGTAGTCGGTAACTAAAGCATTAAGCAACCAAATTTAATATACTTGTTAATGTGCAATTGTTATTTGTATTTCTTAACAATTTAAAATTTTCAACGGGAAGGAATTGGTACAATATTTTAAATGCATTTATTTATAATATATACTTTTTCGAGTTTCACCTTATTATATTTACCTTAGATTTTAAAATCACTAAGCGTATGATTTTTGTAATACATTTATTATTATTTTGTATTTATATATATTATCCAATATTTCATCATGACATAATACCGCCTATCATAGATTCTGTAGAGCATGTCTTCTATAAAAAATCGCTCCCGTTTCGCTACTAATAAAAAAAATGATAAAGTGATTGTTTAAACAAAATATAAATGCATTTATATTTTGGTACTAGCTGATCCCGTACACTTCGTTGCCCGTTAAATGTATCAACTCTATATGACTCAAACTTTGTTCAATTCGTTATTTAATATTCGGTGTACGGTGTTCAAAATTTATCTTAACTTTTCCGTTGCCCGAAATAAAAATTCTGAATCGCAGCAGTAAATTATCAGGTAGGCAATCTACCTGCTGTAGACCCCGCTCTGTATGTACGTAAGTGTACTCTAAAGTAATTCAATTCTAAATTATCAAAGTTATACCAAGTTTGTCGTTTTTAATTAATTCCACCTATGGTTGATTAAAATAATCGATTTATTTAATCCCATTAAACATAATTTATATTTAAAAAGCAAAGCAAATATATTTTTTTTCTATTATTATTATTACTATAATAGCTTAAAACCCCATGGCAACCATTTATAAACAAAAATTTCCATCTGAAATCTTAAAATTCCCGATTGAGCACCTCCCGGGGTTGGTCCTCTCCCTTTTTAAATTAGCCTATGTTTTAAGTTGGACCAAAATACACACGGTGTAAAAATTTCATCAAGATCGGTAAAGTAGTTTTTACGTGAAAGAGTAACAAAGTCACAAACTTTCGCATTTATAATACTAACTAGCTGACCCGGCAAACGTTGTTTTGCCATATAAATAATTTCCTATATATATTAGTTTTCTTTCAGATAAAACATAAAAAATTGTTGTAAAAATTTGTTTTAAATATTTTTTGAACTTAGATTATACTAATTTCACGTCTTCGTGCTTATATTATTTCTTTATAGTCTATACTCTATACTCTATATAGGTAAATACTATTGAGAGTTGAGACATAATTATGTGATGAAATTCTGATTATCAAAACTTCATCACCGTTTATATAGAGAATTAATTTATTTTCCCGTTATTGTTAGCTACAGATGTAGCACTTTAACTATGCAAGTAATATAGGTAAGTATATTTATATGCATTAAAACTTGAAAGTAATAGCTGCAAATCCGATGATTACCTACTGTATTTTTGTATGTTGTATCTATTATTATTTTTTTTTATATATATAACCAATACCTTAGCAACCATTTATAAACAATTATTTCTACCGTAAATTATCAAAATCCCTGTTTGAGCACTTCTTTTATTTTTTTCTGGACAACCCTTATCACTTAGGGGTATGAAAAATAGATGTTAGCCGATTCTTATACCTACTGAATATGCACAAAAAATTTCAACAAAATCTGTCAAGCCATTTCGGAGGAGTATGGCAACTAAAACTGTGACACTAGAATTTTATATATTAGATAGGATATATTGACAAAAAACAATAATACAAATCAACAAACATGCCCGATTAACCAATAGCAACCAATATAATATAATACACTGTTGCGCCACTGTTGTTTTTTTACATCCAGATTTCCTACTTTTCCGGTAGATTTTCCTAAAATTTTCTTTCGTAAAAACCTTCTCCTGGCAATTACGAACATCTTAAAAAAAAATTTAAGCCAAATTGATCCAGGCATTGTTGAGTTATGCGCTTACCAACACATTTTGCGATTCATTTTTATATTATAGATTAGAGACAGACGCTATACCTAAAGAAATATAATAAAATAATTAACTATGTACTAAAAAATATTTAACTGTTTAATCATTGTCGAAATTTATGATGTAAGTACCTATATAGATTTTTTACATCAGAATTCATTAAAATAATTGATATATATACAAAAATAATATAAATAAATAATATTTTAATATTGATAACACTAGGATATATCTAATTTTATTGAAATGGTTTGGTAATAATATTATATTGTGGTAATTGAAAAAACTTCCCTTAGATTATAATAGATATTAATTTCTGTACACTGAATAGTAAATTATTATAAAAAAGGTTCAATAAAAATTTAAGAAAAAATAATAAAAATCAGAACAGACTACTGTATACCTATTTCCTAGAAAAAAAAATTAAGTAATTTAATATTATTTTATACTTAGTCATTTCGGTATAGGTACTAAGTGCTAAATGTAAAAGGATTTTTAGAATCACAGATAAATAATTTCACTTCTCATGTAAATTTATTTTAAGGTTACTTTAACACTGTAATGAAATTCTGG